AATAACACTTACATCTGAAGAAAAAAATGCAATATTCTGCATTCTGTTAAAATATGTATATATTTGATGTATATACGGTACGACTCAGCACCCTGAGCCAATAGAACACAACACCAAGCTTTTTCATGTCATTGACAGAGGAAATAAGCCTTTTAGCCAGTTGCTTCATGCTGTGACCTCGGTGAAGGAGTTATAATAGTTATAATAAGATTTTGCCACTCAGCGTATGTAATACTGCTAGTGCAGACACCATCAAACAACACAACGCTCCTCGAATGAACAAGGTAACAGATTACATATTTCATCCCTTTGAACCACTTTTTAAACCTCAAAACAATAATGTAAGGCTGTCAATAGATTAAGAAAATGACCTGATTAGGTTATCAAATAAAAAAAAAAAATGAAGATGTGTTGTCTTGGTTGTCAGTGTCTTCTTAAATCTTAAAGACTACAAGCTGATGTAGTCACTGAGGTGTTGAGTGATTGATCATAAATGCACAAGTTCTTACCAGTGAGGTACTCTGGATCAGGCACTGGGTCGGACAGCTCCTCATGACATTGGGATTCAGTCGGCACAGACGCCACCACCATGCCATCCGGGAGCTGCTGCTCGATGCCACGGGCAAAGTTTTTTTGCCTAGATAGCAGAAGATAAAGGAGAAAATCCACTCAAAACACAGTTCATTGTTTAAAGGGTCATCTGTCAATTACATAAAGCATACATTTAACCCAATTACATGTTTATTTATTTATTTTTGACACATATTTGAAAAATGAAAATTGCTAGGTGGTGGGAAATTTGATCAATACAACAAAAACATTTGAATGATAATGTTAAATAAAGAGCGAAAAAGAAAATCTTGTAAAATATGGATATTGCGCACTAAAATAAACAGTAAACAGTAACTTATGAGTTTGTCATGAACTATGCTCACAGAAAACAAACAAACAAATAAATAAATAAATAAAAAGCTATGTCTGCATAAACATAAGTGATCCTGGAATACAAATCAGTCACATAAGTACTTTTTTTTTTTTAAATTGAGATGTATACAAGCTTTCCATTGATGTCTGGTTTGTTATAGGACAATTAGTTGGCCGAGATACGACTATTTGCAAATCTGAGGGTGCAAAAAAAAATCGAAACATTGAGAAAATTGCCTTTAAAGTTGTCTATCTATGTTCCCGATTGTGCTCTATTCCCTCACGGAAACAAAGGTTTTATATATTTAAGGTAGGAAATTTACAAAATATCTTGATGGAACATAATCTTTACTTAACAATAACATCGTATTGATTTTTGGCATAAAAGTAAAATCGATAATTTTGACCCATGCAATTTATTGTTGGCTATTTCCACAAATATACCAATGCAACATGTGACTGGTTTTGTGATCCAGGGTCACATAAATGGAGGATGAAGGAGTAAATAAAGCCATAGGATAGGATACATTTCAATGGTGCTAAAGGTTTTGCTATGTATAAAATATGACATAAATATTGTTGTGAAAATTTGAAATAACATAGATTAGCTGTAAGAGAACAGGAAAAAAACAAACCGAAGAAAGCAGTGCGTAAAGGAATGACTGAGATCAGCTGAAGTACTCTAGACTTTGAGAAAAAATTTAAACAAGAATATAGAGACAAAAAGTGAGAAGATGTGTTCAAGTAGATATAGTTTGGTTTCAAAGCAATGTGAGAAAATAAGTATGCATTGGAAAGAAGGCCTGATGTAAAGGGATAAACTGATATAACAGCAAAAGATGCAAAAAGGCGGCAAACTCAGCATTTATACAAGGTCTGACTCAATATCTTTCAATGTATCTTAAGTTAGATCAAGGTTACATTATTCTGTGAATGAGTATTTGTGGAAACTAAACAATGAGATATGTCAAAGAAAAGTACAAACAAAAGGAGTAACGAAGAATATAGAATAAACAATTTCCTTTTCAAGGCAAAATAAGCACCCAGAAAGCACACAAGGGAAATATGGAGAACGCAACAAGATTCTAGAGCGCTGTTTACAAGAGTATCTCATAAATGAGCGAGCATCCAGGAAATTGTACAAGGCAACATTATGCAATCGAAATCTCTTTTTGAGCATTACTGTCATATCCGATTTAAAAGTGGACTTGGATGAGAGAATTATATTATCTCTGAATACACAGAGCACTGTATAAATAATTGGGCTTTAACAGGGGGAAAAGCCAGAGGCTTACAATATGTGCTTTATGTTAATACAGAAATGAAAAGTGGCTGAAAGTGGAACACTCTGTCATTTATGTTCGACAAACAGTCAAATATGCCTACAGTGTTACCCACGCTTCCTGGATGATTTAAAACTTCCTGTTTTTAATAAGGAATAACAACATCCTATATTTGTAACCTAGAACATGATATATCAGATTCCACAGATGTACTGTATATGCAACTGAAGGTTTTCTAGGCCAAATTAAATCTGGCATAAACCTCAAAAACTATTCCCAAATACATCCTCTTGGGTGCACATTCTGCAGAAAATTCTCTGAACATCAGGTGATTTCCTTCCCACGTCTAATAAAAATGTAAAAAAGTTGTTTCTCTTGTCAAACTTGAAGCTCACGGTTCAATAGATACTCACATATTGAAATATTAATAGCTTGTCAAAGTCACATCTGATAAAAGGTTCAGTTCCCCACAGAGTCGGTGCAGCTAAATAGAAATGTGCAGTAAACTTAGGGGCCAGTAATTTTAATGAAAATGATACATATGGTTTCTGAAATTAATACTGGGTAATATTTATGACTACAACCCCTGTGAATTTAAATGTCTATGAATTTTGGTGCATAATAATAAAAATAATAAACGCAATATAAAATGTAATTGCTACTTTGTTGCTTACTACCAAATGTAATAGCTTACCACAACTTTCTCTATATTTTAGCTTACACAATGAGCTAAAATGTTAACAGATACTTGCATGACGAATGCCTTTTACTTTCCCTATACTGCATACAGAATAGTCTCCTGAGGAAACTTGATGTAACTTCATTAATCATGTGGGTCGACATACAGGAAGGAGAGTTCAGTAATAATATCTAGCAGCACGCAATTATAGACAGAATATGCAAGTTTTATAAGATGCTCAGGGCATTGCAGGGGGGATTAGAATGGGAACAAGTGAATAATATAAATAATTCAAAATGACAATAGAATAATTCTGCATGTAAAAAATAGGTGAACTGTTGCTGTCCAGCAACAGCTGACGGAAGATTAACATAATAGAGTACAATAATGACACAATACAACAGAAAGTCTTGAAAAGCCATCTAAAAGCGAAATGGCAGACTCAGAAAGTTAACACGCTAAAATTGATAATGAGAAACATTTTTGCAGCACGTACATTTCGTTTTCTTTTGATTTAAGTAACCTACCAAAGGGTCAGAAATTAAGTTATTCAATTCCCATATAATAAGATATCAGCTGTCAATTATTAATCATGGGAGGCTGAATTCATTCATCTAGAATTGCAGAACTGTGGGCTAGTAGTTTTAGCTTGTTTAAAGGGTTATTTCCAACGCATTCTCATCCTTTAACGTCATATAGAACGCTAGTGACAAAACGGCGCTATACTACGCACATGGCACCCGTTATCGTTAATATAACACGTGCTGTGAGGGCTAAGTTTAGGTGTGGGGTAGGGTGTACGTGTCATATTCACGCTAAAGGATTTATAACGTCTTGGGTTCGCGTGTTATATTAACGATAAAGGGAGCCATGTGCGTAGTATAGCGCCGTTTTTGCATATAGCGTTCTATATGACGTTAAAGGATGAGAACGGGCTGGTTATTTCGGTATTTTACACTTAAGCCCTGTTTTAAGTAGCCTGGTTCAACCAGACTCACGTACATTGAGCGAAAGTGCGTAGGAGGGCACAGTCAGGCAATGTTTTAAGATTGTTTCTGATGAAATAGAACGGATAAGATTAAAATTTGGACAAATGCTGCTACTAATGCCTGCTACACTGGAATAATCATTCATAAAACGCATTCAACTTTAGTTTACAAAGACGGGAACTCCCCAAGTGGTCTGGGGTGTTCACTGATATGCTCACACAAAAATCACTGCAAAAGATGCTTTCTATAAGGTGTTTTACCATTCGTTGAAAACTGAGGAACTATTTAAAAAAACGCTCATTTTTGAAAAGAAGAGCCACGTGAAAACACCCTGGACTTCAAGGCTTTTAAAAAAGAAAATAATCCGACGACTCGTGGCCTGTGTGATGTTTTAATTTAGTGCTGGGAGAAAGGTAGCACTCTGAGTTTCTTGCTGTGAATAGAAACACCCAATTGGGAGATTTTAAGAGAGGTAGTCCTAATCATGATTCTGCAAACCCTTAATGAGAACAAAAGGGCAGTAAAAAATTCATTAAAACCAGCTCAAATCACGCTGGGAAGGAACAGAAGTGAAACCGGTTAAGGCTGGAACCCAGAGGAGAGGGAAAGTAATTAGGAAAGGGCACATGTTTTTAAGTGGAAAGTCTCATGATGATAAGACAAAAATCGAAATGAAATCCTGGCAATGCACACAAGATATGGGAGTGGAAGTAGATAGACTGTTTGAAATGCCCTATAAAAGTGTGTATTGTTTTTAATTAAGATGTCAACAAAATATATGCATACTTAATTTCGTAGCACTCTGATCTACTAAAGCTATGGTACACAGATATGGCACTGACATTAGTGACTTGCTGCTGCTCAACAAGAGCTATAGAGTTTTGGCAGTAGTAGCATAGGGACTTTCTGGATAAAGACAGTAGCACAGCCTCAAGCAAAACATCCAGTGGGTAACCCGCACTCAGTGTACCATATTTGAAGAATGCAAATTGTCTTTTGGGCAGGTTGTCACAGGAAACGCACTTCTCGTTCAGGATTAAACAGCATGAAAATGTAACCATGTCTTTCAGATATGAGTCAGATCATAAAAGCAGCTGCTGCTTGACAACCCAGACTTGTGGGTAGTAACTTTTGGTGAAGCAGCAAAGGAAACACACGGCATGTGTAACTTTGAAACAGAATAATAAACAACTTCAACCTCTATGGATGGGTTTTATCTGGCAGTTGCTCACTCTTTTCCCTCTTGCGTTATTTTGGAAAGAGATGAACCAGTTACCTCTGTAAGTATATGTTTAATTCCTCCTGAATTTATGTGCATATTGCTTGCATGTGAGTTATATGAATCATTTGGCATTTTTCATCCAACTTCCTCAGAAGATTCAGAGATGAATTCACTAAACTGTAGTGTCACTTGTACATGCAGTATTGCAGTGCATCTTGCCTTATTCAATAAGCATCAAAATCAATTAAACAAGGTACTGTTATTATATATATATATATATATATATATATATATATATATATATATAATAACAGTACCTTGTTTAATTGATTTTGAACCGGTTTCACTTCTGTTCCTTCCCAGCGTGATTTGAGCTGGTTTTAATGAATTTTTTACTGCCCTTTTGTTCTCATATATATATATATATATATATATATATATATATATATATAATAGTATTATTGTTGTGATGGCAAAGCTGAATTCTGTATTTTAAAGAGTCAATTCAGGTGTCTGGATCCCATTAAATCACACCAGATTGTGGCAGTCTGCCTAATCCTCTATATCTGTCCAGCACACATATTGTGGGTGTATTGCACCTTTAACAGATTTGCATAATTTATTTTGTGAATGATGCACTAAAACAGCACAAACTGTGGATATAAATAAATGGCACTGTTATCAAACACATTTTTTGTTTCTTAGTGTATTCTCCCCTCAGAGTGAAATACAATTTTAGAAAACATACATTCAACAAGGAAAATCTCATCAATCAAATATCTAGCATAAATATCACAAATAGCACAAATATCTCCTTGATTAACCGAAAGGCAAATGCATTTGTCTCAGAACGCAATCAATCATTAAAGTGCTTTGTTAATCACACTGTTCACTTTACAAATTTCCATTCCGCACCATAGAAAATCAAACATTTCATTTCCAGCTGCTGCTTCTCCTGAGCATCATTTTTTTTGACTATTTCCTCAGGTCTGAAATTAATTGTCACAGCCCTGTGATACTCTATGAAGGATTATTGAACGTGCCGTAGCCTCCTTTTGTTCAACTGAATATCCAGTAGCTTCAGCTGGCCCAATTAATCCCCATTAAACCAAACTTGCTTATGGTCACTTTTAATTTACTCCTCGCCATTCCACATAATTAGAGCTCGCATTAGGCCCAATTCCTCTCAAAAGGTGAATGGAACAGTACAGACTCAGAGAGTACATCCTAGAACATGAGGCCCGGCTGTGCTTTTCAAAGACTGTCTAAACCCAATATCTCTCTGGGTGCCTCCAAATGAGATCAGAGCTTTTGAGATTTAGCTTCTTGATAATATTAACTCTCCTCCCACTATTTCTTCATCACTCAGGCCTCCCTCCTTCTCTACGGTGCCAATCAAACCATCTGGAGTAAATGGATAAACTGCTGCAGGAAACGGCCTCTGTAAGTGTCTGTGTTTAATTTAAAGGCAGCTGACGGCTTTGCATGGTGACCTTTAGGCCGAGCTGACCACAGGGCACATCACAGGGTTCATTCAATTAGAGGAACCTTCAAAGACTCTTTGTGTGTAGCTAGACAGGGATTCTGCTGTGCTGTGTTCCACAGGATGTGTGCTTTTGTTAAATTAGCCTTGATGATTGGATAGTGTAACCGCAGTGTATTTAAGAACTACAGTATGTTTCAGACAAACGTAGGAAGCTAGTTAGCAGTTCCAACAATAACAAAAAACAGCAACAACAACAAATTAGGTAAAAAAGAAGCTTTAGACAAAACAAGATTCGGCTAGTGAAGGACATCTTCACTGTAAAAATGTGTTTTCATGATTTGTAATCACAACATTTTTTTTATTTTGTCAAATCAACTTAAATAATTTATGTAGTTCAGATAACATACTATTTTGAGTTTCTGGTGATTAAATCAATCTCCTTCATTGTATTAACTTTTCAATGAACTTAAAATTTTAAGGCAACCAGGTTACTTCATTTTTTAAGTTAAACCAACAATATTTTTTACAGTGATGTGCTGAAACATATTTAAACAAATTGTAATTGTAATCAGTGTTGGGGTTAATGCATTACAAGTAATATGAGTTACATAATCAGATTACTTTTTCATGTAACAAGTAAATTAACACATTACTTTTAAATTTACAACATTTTTTTTTCAAATACTATAATAACCATATAGACTGTGGCAGTCTGCCTAATCCTCTATACCTATCCAGTACATATATTGTGGGTGATACACAATCACAATATACACATGTTACTTTCCATTCCCATTTACTGGCAGCTCTCCTGTGCCAATGAGCAATGGTGAAGAGGCGTTGTGTGTGCTATGTGAATTGATTGTAGTTCTAGACTAAATTTGAGAATGCATTTACTCATTTCACTTGCACAAAAAACATACAGTATTCAGATTAATTCAGATTAAGGTGAGATGCAAACTATTAAGCAAACATGCAATAATTAAAATGTATTAATTTATTAATTTAATCTCACTTTATTTACCAATGTCTTTGAAGCTGACCTTCGATGATCCAATTCAACGATACTAATAAGCAAGTTAACATCACATTTGTGTTTAATTTTATTGTTTTATTTTGTTATTTTGTTGTGCTGAAGTAAGTGTTGAACTATATTCTCCTGCTTTACTAAAAAGTAACAAAACAAATATGTAATGCATCATCCAAGTGGATGCTGCACACTGGTGGTGGTTGAGGAGAGATTCTCCGATATGATTGTAAAGCACAGGCAGCGCGTGCGCACACACACACACACACACACACACACTCTGAGTACATCTAACAATCAACAAGGACTAACTGAACCAAAGGGAAATAAATACAGGGTTTGATGAACTGAAAACAGGTGACACAGATGATGATAATTAACTAAATAGGTGAGACAACTGAAGACAAACAAGGAGCGGGAAAACTGAACAAGGAGGACATGTGACATATAACCAAAACAACAGAACAGATGAATATGACTGTGACACTATGATTATATATTAGTCACATATTTGAGGTATAAATAACTACATTCTTGCCTGAAAACTAACAATTTAAAAAAATATATACATATATGATGGATTTGCTTGACCGCCATGACAGTCGCTGCAAAAAGAATGATACAAACGGTGAAATGGTTTAAGTGCTGTTACTGGGTGAAAATCGCACAGTTGGAAAAGGCCAATCAGATTAAAAGAAAAGACAGAAAGAACTGTTGCATAATATGATATGATACATGATATGATATAATATGTTGAGTATTCAAGACTTTTATCATATTGTTTTACCCTTATATAAAAGCCATTTGGCACTTCCTGTCAGAGAGGTGTTGGGGCGGGTAATGGATGCAGTGTGGGTAATGCTACGAATTGTAATTTCCTTATCACATCCTTCTCTCTTTTCCCTATCATATAAATAGAATAAAATAAGCCACTGAATGTCATGTGTTATCAGTTAACTTACCAAACCTAAACAACACCCAATTGAGCCTGTTAAGATCACTGTAACATATGGTACAGGCTCTTGTGGTGTATAATTCATATTTCCACCATATTTCCAAAATTCAACACACCATTTCAGACTATCAGCACAATCTTTGCTATTAAAAATGGGTGAATATAAGTCATCTGTCACCCTTGGCACTGGTAAAATCAAGCACAGAATAAAAGTTCACCTGAAGGTGGCCTTAAGGATCTGTCCTGATGTAATCTCTTTGGTGTGGTTATTGTAGCCATAGAAGAGGTCCCCAAACACAGTCTGGTTGGCTGGGATGTCAGCTGTGTCCCCACAGTCCACTCCCTCAGTGCAGGCTTCTGACAGCGGCTGACATGAACGGCCGTCTGATCCTCTCTTATAATCTTCAATACATCTACAAATATATGGGAATGAGAAGACATGAGAGATAAAGGGACAGAAGAAAGAAACGTTGACCTGACAAAATAAGACAATACTTGCCATTATTGGTCAAAAAATTATGAGCCACCAATTTATTCTTTATTATTACACTTTTCCTCATTTTAGAATAATAGTAAAGTCTTCAAACGACCAAACAAGTCAAATCAAAATTTTATTTGATTTCAGCCTTTTCTAATACCCAGTATTCATTGGCAATAAAGCAGGTTAAATTAATTTATTGTTGACTTGACTATGCACAATATTGTTTATGAATAATTTGCTGCAACCTGTATTTAATTTGAAATAAGAAAAAAAAAATGTATATTATGTGTGCGCGTGTGTGTATGTCACAACTGTAGTCAAATCAAAAGACTTAAAAATTTAAATAGAAATATTACAATCTGTATTATGTAAAGCATCAAGTGTATATTATGTATGAATATGGATTCATGGATTAATAAAGTAATCAGTTTCTAGTTGTGTGATTGTTTGTTACAGTAGTACAACATTCAATTCTACCCAGAGGTACTGTACAGGTAATGATCTCACGGCATAGCATCCGTCATGAATATAAGGTTGACAATTCTTTTTATTTACAGTAAAACAGTATCATCCTAATAGCGTGACAGCACACAGGAGTCGTTTATAATAATGGAACTTTGAAACTTAGCTGTCATGTCTGCACTGTACTACACAAGCAACAGAGAAAGAGGTGTCAAGGCTTAAACGCTCACTTCTCTTAGAAAAGTACTACAGTTTTACAGGAAACTGTCATCAATGTAGGTGAGACATCCTCTCAGCTGCACATCCGAAACACAGACAACGATTTAAGTGGCTTCAGATTGCCTGTCGCATTATCAGGATCTCCAAAGAAAAAGGGAATTATGCGCATTTGTCACTTTTAGTCGATACGCCGTGACAATAACAGTCAGCGAGTGATCTCAGAGACTCAAAAAAAAAAAAACAGGTTGTTTTAGCAGGGAAGGTGTAAGACGGAAGCTATTTATTCTGACTGGGTCATATGCTCTGCGGCTGGCACATGAAAGTTGAAGGAATGGTTAGTGATGTGTTATGCATATGAAGTCATGTCAGAATAAAAGCACTTTCACCAAGACATGACGGGACAGAAACACATTTGAGTTTCCCTAAAAAGGCAGTAGTGTTTAAAAGCTTTGAGTGAGTCATTTTTTTTTTTTAATTCATTAAAAAAGATCAATAGTAACAGTAAAGATGTTTACATTGTTAAATATAATCTTTCAATTTCAAATAAATGCTTTTCTTTAGAACTATTTATTCATTAAAAAATCTGGAAACATGTGTGATGGTTTCCACAAAAATATTTAGCAGCACAACTTTTCAACATTGGTAATAATAAGAAATGTTTCTTGAGCACCATATTAGCAGCATATTAGAATGATTTCTGAAGGATCATGTGATACTGAAGACTGGAGATATGATGCTGATGAAAATTCAGCTTTGCATTACAGAAATAAATGACATTTTAAAATATATTAACATTGAAGGGAATGAAATGCTGTGTCTGTTGTTTTGATGAGGCTATGGGAACACTCCTGCTAAAAAGATGATGACTGTATTTTTAATTAAATAAATGCAGTCTTTGTGAGCCTAAGAGATTTCTTTGAAAAAACATTTTAAAATTCTTACCAACCCCTAACTTGAGACACTGGGCCAGATTTACTAACGCTTTTGCACCCAGTTCAGGTGTATTTGTTTCGCAAAGTGTGCATAAAACCATAGGGAGTTATGTACGAATGGGACACACCGAGATGTGCGGACTGCCTGTCGCGGGAACTGAAAATGGCAAAATGCACGTTTCGTGTCATGCATATGCATTCATGGTATGGTCAAGGAGAAAGTGGGAGTGTCACATAAAGAGATGGGAGGAAAAGAGTAAACTGCGCCTAATTATGTATTCTGTGTTATGTACAGAAAAAGCTGCTGAAAGCACGCCTCTATTTTGCGCTGAATATTCTCCGCCTTTAAAAAGCAAAGGTGTAATATAGGCAAAGGAGACGAGCTGAAAAGAATTGTGCCCCAAGAATCACATTTTTTTTAGTTGAGTGAAAACAAAATCATTAAAGGGTTAGTTCACCCAAAAATAAAAATGTATTTCGATGCTTAGTTAGAAAACATTCTAACTAACCCATTGATGTCACATGGATTTTGATGATGTCTTTATTTCCTTTTTGGACAAGGACAGTATATCGTACATACATTTTCAATGGAGGGACAGAAAGCTCTCGAACTAAATCTAAAATATCTTAAACTGTGTTCCAAAGATGAACAGAAGTCTTACGAGCATTTTCATTTTAGGGTGAACTAACCATTTAAGCGTTACAGATTAAGCAGCTACGCAATATTACAGTTATTGGAAGAAATCAAAGATGACATTGAATCACCGACTCAGCGTTCACATTCCATTCCAGCAGTTGTTAAACTCCTCGCTACATTACAGTTATTGGCATCAGGATCATTTCAAACAGTCATAGCATCAGCAGTGCGAGGAGGAGACCCA